TTGTGTGATTATATAACTAAGTGTTCTATTGTGTGATTATATGACTAAGTGTTCGAAAATATATGAAATATCAACATTTTTTTCTCTATTTTATTCAAATTATTAAATGAAATAGAAACTGTTAACAAAGTGTTTTATCACCTGTCCCCCTACATTGGAGAAACAAAACATTAATTTTTGAAACATGAATTACGGTTAATTTAATTCATTTCAGGCATTATGAGTAATTGGTTATGAAGACATAATTTTGTAACTATTATTAGCTGAAACACTTCACATATGGTTGCTTAACTACAAAAAATCATTCAATTGCCCAACATAGCATCCGAAATAGGGAAATTGTGTATCTGTTATCGTCATGTTAAGCAATTTGTTAATTCTGTAAACTAGAATAATATTTCTGTCTTATCATTTCCAGTTAGTGACAGCAATTAAGAGGTAAAGTTCTCCTAAAAAAATAAAGCTAGTCATGATAACCTCAACAAACCTTTATAATACAAGACAATCTCGGTATAATTGTTCTAATATATATATCATAAGAAAAAATGTTAATGTAACAATAAGTGAATTCATCGGCCCTTGTATATGTTCACTATATGAGAGCAGACCTTAACTTTGCTTTGTATTATTTGCGAAAGTAAATACTGGTTGTTGGGTATAATACACATATAAGGAAAACATCATGTGCTAGAAACACGTTCACCTCATCTCCCAGTATGATTTCGAATGTATTTTTTCGCAGTAAAATATCCTATTATATGGGTGTATGTTATGGAAAAAAAGGTCGTATTCCTCGATCTAAAGAAGTGGGTTTAGTCTAACGATGATGGAAAATTACATAGAATGTGATATCTCTAAGAATAAATTCCTTTCCATTGCTTAAAAAATCTTTGTCTTTAGATGTAAAACAAAAATCCTTCTATTCAACTTAATTTATTCGATGTTATCTTAATATTTATTCTAATATTATCTAGCATTGTTTGTGGATAAAAACGTAATTTAAAACGTATATTAAATTTAAATGAGAACTTAGACAAGTGACGAAGTTCAAAGTGTTGAAGATAAATGATACTTTTTGCAACAAAACTAAAGCACTTTTAGGTTGACAGATTCGACTTACTTGTGCACCTAGCACTAACAGATTACAAGTCGTCAGTCTTGGAATCTACAGCACAAGTTGGATACAGGAAGCCATGTTTGGATTTCTTTTAGTACGTTGTGACTGATGTATTAAATAATCTGAACTAGGGAGTATTTCTCATGGTTTGGTGAACAGAATGACTTGAAATGAAGTTTTCAGCTTAGAGTGAGCCTAGAAGCTGTACTTTCAAGTTCATGTTAGAAAGATAAACTATATATTTTTAAAAGAAAATTCTGCAAAATTCAGCCAGTTTTCTCTCCTCATCTGGTTTATGCTTTATTTCGTAATTCTGTAGTAATTCTCTTAACATTTAAAAGTGGATTTAGTGAGAAAAAAGTACCGTCTTACGTAAATTTGGTTTTAATAAAAATAAAATTAACATTATACCTAATAACTGTATCCTTGGTCCGATGAAAATAAAATTCGTAAAATATTTTTTATTAAAAGACTATTTTTTTAAATGTCTAAGTTTTTCTTCTAGTTTATAACGTTCTCCGGTGAGTCAGCGTTAAGTTCACGGATCTACAATGCTAAAAATCGGGGGTTCTATTCCCCGCCGTGGACAGCACATATAGCCCATTATGTAGCTTTGCGCTAAAACCTTGTACAGCAATACAATTGGTTTAAACATGAAAAAATTTTGATGAATCAAATACGTATTGATATGTTACTACTTATTTTATTTAAATCATTTTACCATCTACACTTTAGTTACTTCATATATATATTTTCATCACGTGCGCTTTCCTCTATATTACTTACTTCTACTAGTTTCGTTTAATTTCAAATACGATTTGTAGTCAAACTATATAAGAGGTAATACTCTTCCTCAAAATTATTCAAACATTAACATGAACAAGCAGTTAAACAGCAAACGGGCGTTACTAGATACATTAGATACCCGTTTTGTGAGCGCTAAAAATCCTAGAATCAAATATGAAATAGATATTGACGTAACGATGAAAATGGAACAGCGGTAAGTTTCCGGACATATAACGCTTAATACACAACGCACTGTTCCATTCAAGAAATTCTGAATGCTAAGACCAAGTGATTAGATCGGTGTTTATATATATGCTACAATTCAAAGTTACATTTCAAGATGGATATTTGTAACAAAAATTCACTCCTTTCTCTTGTTTGATAAATAAAACATTTTGGGAAAACAGAAATAATAGAAGTTTTGACATATATATTATGTATCGCTTACCATTTTATACCTAATCTGGCTGATAAAACAAGCAGTAAAGATAGGATAATAAAGTTATCCTATGGATATTATTTATATTCTATAGAATATATTATTGAAAATATTGACTTATAGAAGGCGAGAAGAAAAATATGATTCTCTTTTTGGACGTTCACTGAGGAGACACACATTAATAAATTGCTTAAATATTGTTCGGGTATTTCTTGACAGTGAATAATCAGTATTTCAATGCATTACACGCTTTAGTTTTACATTGTTTGTTTGTTTGTTTTTGAATTTTGCGCAAAGCTACGCGAGGGCTATCTGCGCTAGCCTTCCCTAATTTAGTAGTGTAAGACTAGAGGGAAGGCAGCTAGTCATCACCACCCACCGCCAACTCTTGGGCTACTCTTTTACCAACGAATAGTTGGAGTGACCATCACATTATAACACCCCCACGGCTGAAAGGGCGAGCATGAAGCATAGTCTAACGTATAACACATATTTTCTTGAAAAAACCCAAAGGTCAAAATTTCTAGCTCCATCAACAAAGTCTTATTCATATATAGAAAAGCTGTTAGTCTTATTCTCGGAAACTTGAAATATCACATCCATAAATGTTATAAACAAATACAAACATGCAAACAACACTATACATA